AACGATGTTTATTTGTGTTTTATTGACTATGCAAAAGCATTTGATTGTGTGGATCATAACAAATTGTGGATAACATTGAGAAAAATGAGAATTCCAGAGCACTTACTTGTACTCATGAGGCACCTGTACATAGACCAGGAGGCTGTTGTTCAAACAAAACAAGGGGACACTTCATTGTTTAAACTCAATAACAGAATGTGTCAGGATTGTATATTTTTACCATACTTATTCAATCTGTGTGCTGAGCAAATAATCTGAGAATCTGGACTATATGAACAACAATGTGGCATCAAGATTGGAGGAATAATCATTAACAACCTGTGATATGCTGATGACACAACTTTGCTCGCTGAGAGTGAGTATGACTTGAAGCACTTACTGAAGATTGAAGACAACAGTCTGCAGTATGGATTACATCTCAATATAAAGAAAACAAAAATCCTCACAACTGGACCTATAAGCAGCATTATGATAAATGGAGAAAAGGCTGAAGTTGTCAAAGACTTCACATTGCTTGGTTCTACAATTGATGACATTGGCCATCAGACAATGTATAGCACTGGGCAAATTGGCTGCAAAGGACCTCTTTCATGTGCTGAAGGGCAAAGATGTCTCCTTAAGGACTAAGGTGTGCCTGACACAAGCTATGGTATTTTCAGTCGCCTCATATGCACATGAGAGCTGGACAATGAATAAGGAAGACCGAAGAAGAATTGATGCTTTTGAATTGTGGTGCTGGCTAAGAATGCTGAGAGTACCATGGACTGCTAAAAGACTAACAACTCTGTCCTGGAAGAAGTGCCACCAGAATACTCTGTGGAAGCAAGAATGGCCAGACTTCATCTCACCTACTTTGGTCATGTTGTCAGAAGGACCACTCCCTGGAAAAGGATGTCATGTGTGGTAAAGTGGAGGGTCGATGAAAGAGGGGAAGGCCCTCAATGAGATGAATTAACATGGTGGCAGCAGCAATGGGCTCAAGTATAGCAAGGATCATGGAGATGGCGCAGGACCGGGCAGTGTTTCATTCTGCTGTGCAGAGTCACAATGGGTTGTGGACAACTCGAGGGTACCCAACAACGGTACCTGTATTTTATAGATGAAAAAAACTGAAGCTCTAAATAAAGTTGAATAATTGGACTAAAGTCACCTAGGAAGTAGTGTTATTGTATGATATCCTCCACGGATAGATTCTTAACGACTGTCATTGGGCCTCAAATTTGTTTTTCATGATAGAGAGCTCTCCTGTTGACTCCAACTTATGGTGACCTTATATACAGAAGAAGAAAACATTGCTCATTTTGCATCATCTTCATGATTGCTAGTGTGTTTGAGCCCATTGTTGTGGCTATTGTGCCAGTCCATCTCATCGAGGGTCTCTCTAGCTTACTGGCACTCTACTTCACCAAACATGATGATATTCTTGTCTTGAATGATGACACATCCCAAGTAA